ATCAAGTTTATGTGGAATATATCACGAATTGGTTGCCTTTAAATTACTGATTACCAATTCACGATATATTTCACGTAAAGTTGAGCGATAATACAAAACCATTAATGGACCTTACTGACTACCATAACCATAACCATTAATGTTCTCAAACCATAAGTAAAAACGTTCTAATATAGTTCTCTTTCCGAAAATGTATGGAGAAAACAAGAATTTGGAATTGTAATGGTTCTTAACAACCCATTATTTGTAAGGTCCGCTTCCAAAAAACCATAATACAGAAGGTTAAAACTTTATTACACAAACGTTCATGTAAAGTTCCATAACCATTTCTGTTGAAGTTTAGCAGGGATTATAAACAATTTATAACCATTATCGGTAAGGTCATGTGATGGTTCGCGTTTATGCGGGTATCCTTATTTATTTCTATGTTGATAGGTACCTACCGTGGAAGCACCATATTTGACGCGGGTCCAAACTTGACGCACTTTCCAATCAATTCGATCATAACTCCTGTTTCGGTTTGAATTGCACCGAAATTGTAATTTTCTGTCCTTTGTTTACACTCATGCCACCCATTCATAACAAAAAACCTACTTTGTTTATTGCTAATAAGAGCAATCAAAATCAAAACGAAAAAGCCATCTGTCAAATGCGTCATTTTTTTCTCATCGTAGCAACAACGCTAAGGAGCAAGTTTAATGTTTATTGTTAGTTTTCACGCAGAAAATCAGTTTTCGTGTAATAATATGTTACTAACTATTAAACTGTAAGTATTTTTAACGTTTAACAGCTGATTCAGCAATATATAGTATGTTAGAGCACATTATTTAACGAAAATGTTTTGCGTCAATTTAGGCTCACAGTGGCCCTTATTATTTTCTATGTGAAACATGGAGCCCAAGATGCCGAAAGCTTCACGTAGGCGAGCTAATCCTCCTGCTGTCGCTACAAGCGACGAGTATAGAGCGTGGTTTGAAAGGATGGAAGCAGACAAACAGAAGGAAGAACAAATTCGAGCGGAGAAAAAGGCAGCCAGAGAAGCGAAGAAATTGACCACAGCAAAACGTCTTGAAAATAAACCTAAATCTGCTCCAAAGAAGATGAAATTGATTGTTTGATCTTTAATGATTTGTATATTTACCATATTTCATCAACCATTCAATAAACACTTGTTTTTTGTTGAAATTAAGCTATTTTTTTAAGTGCGTCAAATAAAGAACACCTTGCGTCAAATAAGGCACATTACAGATTCTATGCGTCAAGTTAGGAACCCAAAGTACCAAACAGAAATTTATTATAACATCAAGAAATTAACAGATATTTACGTTTTATTTATTTTTCCTACATTCTGTATTTACTGAACTATTACCAACAATCAATACGAAACTAACGATTTTAAATTGGCTCACCACTTTAGGAGCCTATTGGTCCCAAGTAAACGATTAACGTACCCTATTCTAGCCGAAATTCTAGTACTACGCAATGTTTGTTTTGATTCGCTATGAAAGTTTGATAGATAAAATGAGGGGTTATTGGTTTTTCTATGTTTCGAGGGGTGAATCGATTAGCTTGGGACCAAAGAGAGTACCAGAGCTGAGCCAAAAAGTTGAGCACGTTATTTCGGGACCTTCTAGTCTTAGAGTTACCTCTATGCTATTACCATAGAGGTAACTCTAAGACTAGTAGGTCCCGAAGAAAATCATTATTATTTTTGGCTCACTCAGTACCAGAACAACGGTCTCAAGCAGTCCCAAGCTATTTCACTCACCCCTGCATGTTCTGCATGAATCCACACACCCCTGATGTTATCTGTCAAACTTTCATAGCGAATCAAAACAAACATAGTGTAGTAATAGAATTTCAACTAGAATAGGGTACGTTAATCGTTTGCTAGGGACCAATAGGCTACTAAAGTGGTGAGCCAATTTAAAATCGTTAGTTTCGTATTGATTGTTGCTATTACCACAAACGAAGTGACAGACGGAGCGGCTCGAAAACTTTGGTGACTAACCTGCTATTTCAATTTTTCAGTGTACCTCACGGCAACACTATCTACTCATATGTACTAGCTTAAAATATATAGTTGATGCTATTGGCCTTGACGGCGAATCTATAGCTCTTTACTCCTATGGTAAAATCCGTAAGCAAACGTCAGACTGTGCGTGAAATTTACTTTCAAAAACGAAGAGGTTCGCAAGTGGTGCTGGTGCTGAAGAGTATGAACTGCTGTTGGATGATCAGATTGATTTCGTCCAGGCACTCCGACTGGATGGAACTAAAGAAAAGGACCGGAAAGCACCGGTATCTGAGGCGGAAAGGAAGAAGATGGACATTGAGGAAACGAAGAAATCACTTCCAGTTTTTCCATTCAAGGAGGATCTCATAGCCGCTATAAAAGAACACCAGATTCTTATTATCGAAGGAGAAACGGGTTCGGGAAAAACGACACAGATTCCACAGTATCTCTATGAAGCTGGGTTTACAAACGACGGCAAGAAGATTGGATGTACTCAGCCTCGTCGCGTGGCAGCGATGTCCGTGGCGGCACGTGTTGCACAGGAAATGGGCGTCAAGTTGGGCAACGAAGTTGGTTATAGTATTCGTTTCGAGGATTGCACATCCGAGCGGACTGTCATTAAATACATGACAGATGGTACGTTGCACAGGGAGTTTCTTTCGGAACCGGACCTAGCTTCGTATAGTGTGATGATTATCGATGAAGCTCACGAGCGTACGTTGCACACGGACATTCTGTTTGGATTGGTGAAGGACATTGCGCGGTTTCGGTTGGATTTGAAACTACTGATTTCCAGTGCCACGTTGGATGCGGAAAAGTTTTCGGATTTCTTCGATGATGCGAACATATTCCGTATTCCTGGTCGTCGTTTTCCGGTACGTAGTTAGATTTGACTTGCTTTGTGTTTTGCTGTAAAATCTAACTTTTTCTCTTCTAGGTTGATGTCTTCTACACCAAAGCACCGGAAGCAGATTATATCGATGCATGTGTGGTGTCGGTTCTACAGATTCATGCCACTCAGCCTCTTGGAGACATTCTTGTATTTTTAACTGGTAAGTGGGTCTATTTCTATGCGATGTTAAAAAATTACATTTTTTTTTCGTTCCAGGACAAGAGGAAATCGAAGCCTGCCAGGAGATGCTCCAGGATCGCGTCAAGCGGTTGGGTTCCAAACTCAAGGAACTACTCATCCTTCCCATTTATGCCAATCTGCCTTCGGTCATGCAGGCGAAAATTTTCGATCCAACTCCACCGAACGCCCGGAAAGTCGTACTGGCCACCAACATCGCCGAGACATCACTAACCATCGATAATATAATGTACGTGATCGATCCGGGCTTTGCAAAGCAAAATAATTTTAACTCCAGAACCGGGATGGAGACCCTGATGGTCGTGCCCATTTCGAAAGCGTCTGCCAATCAACGTGCAGGTCGAGCAGGGCGCGTTGCCCCTGGCAAGTGCTTTCGTCTGTACATAGCCTGGGCATACAAACACGAGCTGGAAGACAACACCGTCCCGGAAATTCAGCGCATAAACCTGGGCAATGCCGTGCTAATGCTCAAAGCTCTTGGAATCAACGATTTGCTTCATTTCGATTTCCTCGATCCTCCACCACATGAAACGTTGGTTTTGGCATTGGAGCAACTTTACGCCCTAGGGGCATTGAATCACCACGGTGAATTGACCAAACTTGGACGGCGGATGGCGGAATTTCCGGTCGATCCCATGATGGCAAAAATGCTGCTTGCTAGTGAAAAGTACAAATGTTCCGAGGAGGTGGTGGCCATCGCTGCAATTCTATCGGTGAATGGAGCCATCTTCTACCGACCGAAAGATAAAATCATCCACGCAGATACGGCCCGGAAGAACTTCAACCACATGCACGGGGACCACTTGAGTTTGCTGCAGGTCTACAATCAATGGGCCGAATCGGACTACAGCACTCAGTGGTGTTACGAAAATTTCATTCAGTTCCGTTCGATGAAACGAGCTCGCGATGTCCGGGAGCAGCTGGTTGGGTTAATGCAGCGAGTCGAAATCGAAATGGTTTCCAGTCTGCCGGAAACGACCAACATCCGGAAGGCTATTACAGCCGGGTACTTTTATCACGTCGCTCGGCTCTCCAAGGGGGGGTCACTACAAAACGGCCAAGCACAATCAGACGGTGATGATCCATCCGAATTCGGCACTGTTCGAAGAACTGCCTCGTTGGGTGCTGTACCACGAGCTGGTGTTTACGACGAAGGAGTACATGCGGTCGGTGATTGAAATCGAAAGCAAGTGGCTGCTGGAGGCGGCACCGCATTACTACAAACCGAAGGAGCTCGAGGATTCCACCAATAAAAAGATGCCGAAAACGATCGGTCGGGCCACGCTGACCGAGGCGTAGGTTGTGATGAGACGGTTTGGGGTAATTCAAGCGCATTTTTCGCACTATGTATTCAACGGGAATTGTTGTTATTTGCGATGACATTATCCTACCTAGGGTGTCGGGTGTAAATTAGTGATCTTTAGGGACAAATAGGTGAAATATAAGGTTGCTGCAACCATGCTATATTGTATGTCAGTAGAGAGCTTCATAAGGCTAGCCCGTCTAATCCCAGTCGCGCTCCTTTCCGTTTCTTCAGGTCCGGTTAGGTGGATTAGGTATTCTCTGGCACGCCGAAGCCAACTGCAGGGCTGTTACAAGTGTCGCAAATTTTGTGCGGTTTTATAGCTTTTGAAGTGCGGATTTTGCGGAAAGCTTATCGACATTGAACACATTTTTTTAAATGATATTTTAGCTTGCCCAACCAACTATTAATAACTTTACTGCTTTACTTCTTTATTAAATAATAGAAGGTCTTTCTAAACGTAGATTTTCCTGGAGTCTTCAAATAATTAGAATCGAAACTTAGTTGAATTAACCCTAAGTGGAACTAATCCGTGCCAAAGCAAATCTGAGATAGCAGTCCACGAATACCTCAGATTTGCGAATTTAGCGTAGTCGTAACAACGCCGTCCTTGACGGGAACTAACAAAGTTTATACTATTTCAAACAATCGCTGATAGGAAGTTTTTTCGCCAAGTGAATGATGAAATACTCACAATGATTTCACTGTCTTAAGATTTATTGCTGTCTCTAATAGCATATGTAGCAAAGCTATACATTATTTTTCTCTCGTCTCAATACCTACTTACTACCAAAAGTGGATGTGTTAATAACACAATCAATGATTAACAATTAAAAAAAAACCCTCACTGAATTCAACCATACACAGCAGAACATACAAAATCAAATCTCTCTTTAAAATATGCCCCGACCCGTCCGCTCTAATGCTGCGACCACTGGATCGACTTGATGTCGATACCTTCCTGGACCATCTCCCACAGCGGGGACATCTCTCGGAGTCGAGTCACGTGCTTGATGCACTTTTCAGCTATGTAGTCGATTTCCTCGATGGTGGTAAACCGTCCGATGCCAAAGCGAATCGAGCTGTGAGCCAGATCTTCGTCGTTACCAATCGCACGCAGCACATACGACGGTTCCAGCGAAGCCGAAGTGCAAGCCGACCCACTCGAGAGGGCAACGTCTTTCAGCGCCATCAACAGCGATTCACCCTCAACGTATGCAAACGACAGATTGATACATCCGGGATAAGAATGAACTGGATCGCCATTGCGGATGACTTTCGGTAGCGATGCGAAGATTTGGTCCATCAGGCGTTTCGAGAGGAACTCCATCCATTTGTGATCGTACTCCATTTCACGGCTAGCGATTTCACAGGCTTCCCCCAATCCAACGACCAGTGGAGTCGGAACGGTTCCACTTCGAATGCCACGCTCCTGGCCACCTCCGCTCTGAATGGCTTCCACACGAACTCGAGGACGAATGCGAGTTGAATGCAAGAGGCTCCCAAACATACAAACTTTGCTCACGACGTTCTTATGCATAATCTAGTGTGACGTAACGTTGGATCATGCGTAAGAACACCGTGAGAACGAAGGAGTCGACTACATTCTTTCTGCCGCACCTATAGTACCGCACACGGTTCCCGCGCTGACTGTTCCTTACTTTCTCACTCTAATCAAAATTTCCTTCGATGAGTGAGAAAACAGGACCCCGTCAACGCGAGTGAGAACGCGAGTTGCCAGATCATTGCACACAAAACCAACTTGAATTAATTCAAATCAAAAATACTAGCGAACCTGGCGGTGAGCGGCGGAAAGTGGTCTAAAATTCTATTACAGAGAACCACCTTATTTTAATTAATTTCTTCGGAGAAAGTCGTCTGTAACTTCGTTTGTGCTATTACTGTGTAAAATATTGATTGAATTGGTAAGACTCTCATTTTTTAGAACATGTTTGAATTTGAAATTGTCTTAACTGCGTCAAGTATGGTGCTTCCACGGTAGTACCAAGAAAATAAAACATATTTTTGTTAGTTTTTGCAGCATTTTTGATTTGCATTAAAAAACAAAGCAAATGAAACTGACAGAAAAGCATACTCTAAATACAAATAAAATAGCGGTTATGAATCGAATAAATACATTCACTTTATTCTATCTATGCATAAACCATTTTTATACTAAGTTCGTATTCTCTCACTTTATACCAAGCTATGCGTCGGTCAGGAGAGTTGCGATTTAGCGTAACTTTTAATCTATTTTATGTTTGAAAATCTTTTGAGTGTAGTTTTCCATCTCGGAACTCACCGACATTAAAGAGCCTGAATTTATAAAGAGACGACATCTTATCCATTTGACAGGTCTTCTGCTCGATTGGAATCAATGACGTTTATATAAGGTCTGGGCCAAAGGGCTTATTGGTGTTAGTGAAATGTGCAAATGGTTAGTGGTGTTCGTATTGTATTGCAATGTTTATCTTTTTACACGAAACAGCTGTTGGCAGTGACGTATTTCTATCTGTTCTCAGTATGTCGGCAGTGACGTATATCTATCTGTTCGCAGATGTTCAGCAATGTTTACAACATTTTTGCTTCTAACACCAGCAAGCTGCCTGTTGGCCCAGACCTTATATAAATGTCATTGGATTGGAATGACTTTTCCTATGACTTTGACAGACAATCGATTGTTCCAATTTTGACATTTCGCCTCTTTATAAATTTAGGCTCTTTAACCGACATCATCAACAGTTTGCTGATAGATCAGTGCACGGTCCCTAACCTCACTTTTTGCTTCCTATCATTTTGTCTGTGAGTAAAAGAGATGGCAACGAATGGGAGCCAAAACAAACCACCCAAAACTGTCAAAATTTACGGGAGAGGGAAGAGTGCGGCAAATCTTCGTGCACTGATCTATAGCCACAAAACATAGAACGGTGAATTCAAATTTACTTTTTCCAATTATACAGGCTTCCCTAATAAAAATTGTATGGTTAATTTGCTTAACGACGTGTTTTGGGTATCATCCAAACCATTTATGGAATAGTTCAATGATTTGGGTTATCGTTCGTGTATGGTTATTTTTTATTAGGGTTTTTAGTTCTAACCATAAACGAACTCAGCCATATTATGCGGTGTAAATGACTGCGCAGTCGGTAAAATCGGTTTGACATTCAACTTTTTCTTTTAGTTTTAACCTGTTTTAACTTGTAGGTTTGTGAGTAAACATTCCAGTGTGACTGACTCGGGACCATATTTTTGCTGGAAAAATCTTAATTATTATCTTAATCAACAATGTCTAGTGTTAGCGAGAAAATGGATACCGACACAACTGCTACCGTTAAACGTAAGCCAATTTGTATGATAGTTCTTGGTATGGCGGGTTCCGGCAAAACGACATTTGTACGCAAGTTGGCCCAGTACAAACATGACGAACACAATCCGTATCTCATCAATTTAGATCCAGCATGTCGCGAAGTTCCGTACCCTGCAAATATCGGTAGGTTCTCAGCAGATATACGTACTATATAATTTAATTTTGAACTTCCTGCTAGACGTTCGCGATACTATCAACTACAAAGAGGTTATGAAGCAGTACAATCTCGGACCCAACGGAGGAATTGTAACCGCTTTGAATTTGTTCTCCACGAAGTTTGGTAAAGTGATAGAATTAGTTGAGCGAACGCAGGATAAACACAAATATTGTGTCATAGACACACCTGGGCAGATTGAGGTGTTTACCTGGTCTGCATCCGGCACAATTATAACGGAAGCTTTGGCAACAGCATTCCCTACAGTCGTTGTATATGTAATGGATATTGTACGTTCAGCGAGCCCTACCACCTTCATGTCAAACATGTTGTACGCTTGTTCTATTCTCTACAAAGCCCGCTTACCCTTCATAATTGTACTCAACAAGATTGATGTGCAAGAATTTGATTTTGCCATCGAGTGGATGCAAGACTTTGAATCATTCCAGGAAGCACTTGAGAATGAAACAACCTACGTCAGTAATCTGACGCGAACAATGTCCCTGACATTGGACGAGTTTTATCGAGATCTAAAAGCTTGTGGCGTGTCGTCCAAATCTGGGATTGGGTTCGGGAAATTTTTCGAACTTGTCGAAGAAGCGGCAAAAGAATACGAAACCGATTATAAAGCAGAATACGATAAGCTACGGGTAGAAAAGATGGCAGAACGAAAAACGAAGGAAGAAGAACAGCTAACGAAGATAACCCAACAAGGCAAAGGACAGGAAGTACCTCTGATAAATGAGCTGAGCAGTGGCCGTGAAAGGGCGGATATCTATTTGAAACATCCGGGTAACGAAAGCTCCGAGGACGAGGAAGGCCATGAAGACGACGCTTCGGTATGCCCAGGTTAGTGATTTTTTGACTTTGCACCTATGATCAAATACTAATCCGTTATTGAATCCGCATCTAAACATTTCCAGAAATGGAAAATTAAAAAAAAAAACGATGCTCCTTGTTCCAAATATCAAGCAATATTAGTCTACAGTAATTCAATAAACTATTCGAAGAATAACTTTCATCAGTGATGCCACGTATACAGATTTATCTGTAATGGTACAGTTTTTTTTTTAAATTTTCGATGCAGAAATCTGTAATACAGATACAGATTTTCGAAAAACTATGCAAAGTACAGTTTTGGCAGTTAGATATAAATCACTTCGATTGAACTTGGGACATCTGACTAAAATGCTGGCCAGACTGAGCAATTGACATGTTATAAGCCTATTTTTGTTGCCGATAATTCAAACTGAACAGGTTCTAAGTAACATTGATCGATTCTCTTCATCCATTTTCTCTTTCGTTAATAACATGGGTATTGCACCGTTTCTTGTCGTATTAGAAGATAGATAATAGGTTATTTCACCGATCGGTGTGCTGAAAAAAGTGGGGAATAACAACATGGCCAACATGGCTGTGAAAAGACCAATATAATCTGTCAATGTTGTTTAGTTCCTAATGCATTATTCAGCTTGAATTATTATAACACCCTTGTAACATGTTATAATGCTGTAGGCATAAGGGCGGTATCCCTTATGGTTCTTAAATTCCAATCGTCTAAGTAAAACTCAAATCGCCGGTCCTAGTCATATACGTATACGCTTGAAAATGACTCTTGTTTCTGCTATTCATCGAAAATAGCTATACAGACTGCTAAACAGTAATTATCGCTTTGCTTCTTTTTACAGGTGATGACGAAGCCGAGGAAACCAACTTCACCTCATTTGTTCGAAAGCATAAAGAGCTTCAGCAGGAAGCGGCGAAAAACCAATCAGCTAACAAATAAAAGTAAATAAAACTACATTGCGTAACATTCATTGAAGTGAAAAATGTTTACAACAATTTTATTTCAACATTTAACACCAATTAGCAAAACCAGAGGAACAATAATCACAGGCAAAAATTCACGAAAACTGTATCTTCGTTACGGGGTACACTTTGAGTGTCTTTCCAAAGCGTTCGATATCTGTTATGTAGTTGCGCCCTGTATCGTCTGTGGTCAAGTAGTGAATTGAAAATTCCCTGTCCAGATCTTCGGTTTCCGCCTCATCCACTTTTTCGGAGTCCTCACTGTTACAATGAATCGACTTGTCGCTGCATCCAACTACTTGAACGGAAAACTTTCGTCGATATCGGTTATCAAATACAAGCTGATTATAGAAATCTACAATGTTCTGCTTGCTCAAATGATCTATGTGTTCCATTTCCAGCTTGTTTCGGTTGAAAACATACTCCTCGGTAGTAATCTCGGCCCAGTTTCGGTTTACTTCATTCTTCAATTCAGTGTCAACTATTTGCTTGCGTTTCAGGAGTGAACTCTTCACCAATTGAAAATCTTCTTCCGGCATATCCTTCAAAATTTGTACAAATCTTTCGTTGAAGTCTTCGATCCTCTCGTCAATGTGCTGGTACGTGAATTTGTCTTCTTGCGAGTGAATCGTTACCGAATATCCTAATATACCAAAGTTATCCCGGATTGTTATGGACACATCATAGCCGAGCTGTTCTTTGGTCCGTAGTATGTCGAAGAGTGGTTCTTCGATTAACATCACCAGCAATTCCAATTGTGAATTGATCGCTGGAGTCACAGGTCCAGCTTGGTAGAAGGAGGTCGTTACCGTGTTGACGTCTTTCTCACGGAAGGATTTCACCGTCAGATAGTTGTTTCCTAGCGGAATTTCTCGTGCTTTTGATTCAGTGAGAGATTTCTAAAAAAAAAAAGAACATACCATTAGCTTCCTCAAAGTATCTTAATTTTGTGATAATTAACTAACATCGAGTATTTCACCAGTCTCAAGGTTGCTTAACACTTTCGACATAACATCCAAAGCATCCTGCTTCCGAGTGTTTCCCTGTATCAGCGATTGAATTTTCACTTGGCGGAAATATTTTTTGGAAAATTGACTGAGATTGTCAATGGTTAAGTTTTTCAATAAATTGAACCGCTCTAGAGTAGTCCAGAATGTGTCCTGTACCACCTTCAAACGAATATCCCTACAATTAAAAGAATAAATTATTATTTATGTCCTTCAACTATACGGCAGTATGCTGCATTATTACCTGTTTAGTTTACTGGCTTTTATGATTTCATTGTAGTATGCTTTAGCCAGTTTTTTCTTAATGACATCAAACACTTCGGAGTTCATGTTTTGATCAAAATCTCGCATTGCCTTGGTAATTTCATCGACAATGATTGGTAGTTTCTGATTGTACCCATCAACCTGTGGGGACATAAAATAATTGAATTTAATTACGGAGTTACAGATGCATTATTGCATGCATTACCTTCAAAATAATTCCCTTCTCAGAAGCGTAAATTTCATAATTCAGCCCTGCAACCGTGGCGGGATAAAGATCTTCAGCAATTTGAAATTTCAACATCGAAGTGTACAGACTCATAAGAGTAGCGCTGAAATTGTATAATGTCTTGATTATTAGTTCACCAATTAGTGTCACACATCACATACCATTGTGGGTCATGCATTGGTAGTGGCGAAATGAAATAGAAGTACATAAGCGACATAGGCAGGTTGAACTTGTTATCCTGTCGATACCATAGCTCCCTATTTTCGGTCTCCATTATCCTCTCGGGAAAGGGCGAAATAAGGGCCGCATCAGCATCGTCTTGGCTCGCAAAGATAGTGAAGTCCGTACTTATGTACTGATTGCGCTCTTGCAGCCTTAGCTCTGGGATGATAGTGGCATTAGCCCATAAGTTTTTCCATTCTTGTGGAATGTCTGAAATTGGAAATCATATTATTAGGTACCGTAAAATGGGCTGACTACTGGTACTGTGTTGGTGACATCGGATATTATGCAGCAGATAAATTTGGAAACTCATTTTTACGTACTCCACACGACCTTAAGGTCTGGGAAATTTCGCCTACATAGAAGTGTACCATGTACAACACGTTGATAAGACCGGTAGTTCTCTAGGGACATGAGCCGTGGACTATGCTCGAGGAGCACCTGCAAGTAATGGAAGTTTCTAAACGGCTTAGGTCAGGTGGCGCAACTCTACGTCGAGCCCAGTTTACAGAAATTCGCTTAAGCTGGAACGATATAATGGGCGGGAAACGTTGTAAGAATGCCGGAAAACAATCCCACCAAAAATGTGTTTGCTCAAATCTGGTCGGTACAAATCGCAATGGAGCGTAGCGAGCTAGGTGGTTTGATCAAGTGGTGCAAGATCTAGGAAGTGTGGGACGCTTAAGAAACTAGAGACAAGTAGTTCCGAACCGAGACAGTTGACGTTACATTGTACAGTATAAAAGAAAGACGTTTGACCGCTATTACAGTTAATGGACGCGCTTTTCATGCTTTTCCTCATGTAGTGGTGTAAAGCGCTAGTTCGTCGTAGTCGCCCATTTCCGTTCTATCGAGCACAAAACATCAATAATGATTTCAACGTGCACAATCAATAATACGTTGGTTCCTATGCGTTACACTGAACAAACGGGAAACGTAATTTTAACCTGAAAATTCAGGTAACCTCTACAAAATAGCGATCCAATCAGATTAACGTGCCACACATAACATTCAATAGCATGTGAATAAATTCCACTGGAGTTAAGTTTAGTAATGTTAATAAATTATAATAATTTATAAATTAAATCTTCAATTGACGAACTACAATCTACAGTCCTACGGAAAACGGGCGTTAACTTAAAGATCAACAGGTAAATTAGTTAGTTATATTGTTTTCTAGACTGCCTGAGTAAAAAAATAACATTTCTCAAGAATGCATTGCTCTCATTCATTTAATGAAACAAATAACTTGAAATATTTATACATCTAATCTATCATCAATTCACTTAACCATCGAGCATAAATGCGAACCATTACTTGACCTTCCCGAAAATGGTTAAAAATCATAAATAAAATGTTTCCAATATAATTCCTTTCCCAAAAATGTATGGACAAAACAACTATTTTGAATGGTAATGGTTCTTAACAAACCATTATTTGTAAGGTTCACTTCCAAAGAACCATAATACAAAAAGGTTAAAATTTTATCACACAAACGTTCATGTAAAGTTCCATCACCATTTCAGTTTAAGTTTAGCAGGGATTATAAACAATGTTTAACCATTTTCGGTAACGTCAAGTTATGGTTCGCGTTTATGCGGGATTACTACACAATCCAGTAACATGTAGTTGCAATTTTTCGTAATTTTTAAGTGACGCGAACTTCAACGATAAAATTTACGTGAAAATCACTTGATTTCTATGTGAATCACTTAACTGTAATCTCTCCCTCAAAATACGTAATATTCACCTGAATAGTACGATGAAAAATATCTACGTGCCATTTCAGGTGGATATAACGTGAATTTTATTTGCAGTACAGTTTACGAAGATTTACCGCACCTTTCTTTCACCCGTAAATTTGGACAGTTTTGGGTGGTTTGTTTTGACTCTTATTCGTTACATCTATTAAAATTACTAAACTATTTGTGACTCTTTATCCAAATCGAAAAAGAGAGGTAAGGCGCGGGTTGTGCTTACTAGCATGGAAATTAGATCAAAAACGCTACATACCTCGCTCTGTGTATTCCGTGCCGAACCATTTCTCCTTCTTGTCATACACGATTCCATTGTACGGCTTAGATGACGATATCATTATGTTGAAATTAGGCTGATTTAGACTATCGATAACCTTCTGAATTTCATCAGCATCATAGTGGTCGTAAAGCTCGGAACCCGTGATGATGTCCTTTGACGGATAGTACCGCATATTGACTACCAGCTCTTCTACGTTGTCACTGGCCTCTTTTTCCTTGCGATAACGGAACGAGGTGTCTTCTATCTCCTTCAGTTCATCAAACAACCATTCTACTGGTCCACTTTCCTTTAGGAGTCGCATATACGAGTAGATAGCTTTCAAAATCTCTTCGACGTTTTCCAATCCTTTGTCAGTCATTGTCACGGATACAGCGAAAAGAGTATAGAGGGAGTTCTTCTCGAAACCATAGCTTGATCCAGTTTGTACATCAAGTGCAAGGGTTCTGAAAAAGTTTGGATTTTACGTTAACTGAAAATTAATTCTACAGCTGTTTTAATTACCTGTTCCTTAGATAGCTGGTTAAACTATATTTTCCTTCATATCCAAGAAGGTAGGATAAATAATCCACTGGTTTCACCTTGTAATCCTAAAAGTGACATACGTTTGAAATTTTGATACTACATAAGAATTCTTTCGGTAATTACCTCAACGCTGGGTGGCAAACACCAAGTCACGTCCAACCTACAGATGTTCGATTTGGGTTTGACATAGTACACTTTATTAAAGAAATCCGGTTTGAATGCGTTCATGTCATTAAAGGCAGAAAAGTCTTCTACAGGCAGGCTGTTGTTTGGGATATTGTTCAAATACTTCACCGTTAGCTTCTCAAGCTCATCCAGACTCATTCTTGCTTGTACAGCGAAATGCATCCGATGGGCTGAATAATGCCGCTTTTGAAATTGGTGCAAAATTTCATGCAATTCATCTTGTGTCACATTGTCCTTCAGAGTCCGCAGATTGCCCCACGAGAACAAACTACTCGGATGATGCTCTTGACCCAATGAAGCTAGAAGTTGTTCTCGCATTGAAGAGAAACTATTAATGTTGGTTTGAAATTCCGATTCAACGGCATCTCTTTCACGCCCGATGGAATCTCGCAGCATCAGTGGTGAAGCGAAAAGGCTAGAAAATCGATCCAAAGCACCGTCCAAGTATTCCTCATCGATCTCGAAATAGAACGTCGTTTCTTCCAGATCAGTTACAGCATTGTCAAACCCACCACATTTCTGTTTAAAAATAAAACTATTCTCAAATCCACCTCAAACACAATTAACTGATAAATATATTAAACTACTTACGCTAATGTATGCATCATACTCATTCTCGGTTGGATACTTTTTGCTGCCCATAAAGATCATATGTTCGAGAAAGTGTGCCAATCCCTGTACTGAACGAGGGTCGCTGAACGAGCCAACACCGATGCACAATGCGGCAGCCGCTAGCTTTTCTCCGACCTCTTCTCCTCCTGTCTCGCTTGCGTCATCCTCGCTTTCACTGTCGCTTGGCTCCTCTGTAGCCGATGTTACACTGGCCCCATCATCACTCTGGTCCTCTTCTTTACCTGTGGTGTTCTGTTGTGCCTGTGATCGTTCCGTTGGGTCGGATATCAACAAAGCATGCAGGCCATTTGGTAGCACAAGTGACCTAAACGTTGATGAAAGTGAAATTTATTTTCTAGGTGCCACATATGTCTTATTATGTTTGAAGATAAACCCCGATCTGTCCATTACATCGCTCACCGTCGTTCAGCCGCTTGGGGCCGAGGCAGCAGCAGACTTTTGCCTCAAATATAGTAAAAAAAAAGTTAGATTATCGAACGGAGCAATCATTCGATCTTGGAAATTTTCATCGAGAGAAGTTCGACATTTGGATAATTGGCGAAAATGACCAGACGGGTGCACAAGCATACCGCAACTTTCATAAAAGCACTTTCCATTCGCTTCAGGACGCCCGATTCACCAAATCCCTAGGAACACGTTACAGACGATTAAACCGAGCACAGCACGAAGAAATAACTCCAGTTTCGGGTAGTGAACGATTGGACATAGACATTGATTTGAAAACCAGAGACAAAATTTGGAGCACGAACATAGAAAAACTCATAGGATTAAAGATTTAAAAAAAGTTCAATAGACAAAAACGATCATCAAAAATTCATTTTAATTCGGATATTTTTGAAACTCTCAGGGAATAAATAAACACATATTAGCTATGTTTTTGCAAAGTTGGTTTATTCAACCTCTTCTCCTTGCCCGCACCTTGGACTTAACACTACCCAGCAAATCCTGTGCAACACTTGCGCCATCTTTCTTGCACACTTTCATCCACTCTTGCTTAAAATCCTTGTCGTTTTTGAAGGTCTTCCCTGTTTTCCGGAGCTTGTCCTCATAATAGCGAAGTTCTGCCAAGTTTGGTGGATTTACCTCCTTCGGCACAAAAACAACATCGTTGGCATCACCGGTTTCGCGTAATTGCACGATGCCAGATCCGGCCAAAACAGAATGTCACCTTAGTGGGACCGGAGGAAGGACAGCAGGTGCTTCTGGAGGCATTCTTCTTTATATATTTGGCCGTTGATGGTGCCGGTCGTTATGTATGGCTTGCAGAATTTGTCGCATCCATAGATCGCCTGCCACACTAAGTACTTCTTGGCAAATTTGTCGATCTTCTTCTTCCGGAACTTCTCCGGAACATCCAGGCGTGACTTGCCGACGAAAAACTCCAGGTCGGGGATCTGCTTAGCGTCCGCTTTAATGTACGTCTCGTCGTCCATTACGATGCATTTCGGCTGCACCAATCACTCGCGGTACAGCTTCCTGGCTATCTGTTCGGTTAGGCGCCTTACCTTCAGGACATGTAGTCCAGCCCGCTTCATTGTCTGCTGGACGAACCAGACGGTAGAATTGACCTTTTTGGCCACGTCCCGAATCGAAAGGTTCGGATTGCGCTTGAAGTAATCCCTCACCTTCCTTGCGTTCAAGAGGTCGGTCGTTTTCGCTTCGAATAAATTGGCTCACACTGGACCATCCTATTGGTCCCAAGTACATCGATGAACGTATCCCATTTTTGTCGAAATTCTAGTACTACACTACGTTTGTTTTGATTCGCTATGAAAGTTTGACAGATAAAATGAGGGGTTCGTTCGTGGATTTTCCTATGTTTCGAGGGGTACATCGATTAGCTTGGGACCGAAGAGAGTACTAGAGCTGAGCCAAAAAGTTGAGCACGTTTCTTCGGGACCTTAGAGTTCCCTCTATGGTGTTAGCGCAGAACAAACTAAAAAACCCGAATTTATCCACCTATTGTGTGATCAGACCCTTCTTACTTATTCAAGTTTATTTATTTTATTGTCATTATCAGTGACCAAGCCCCCCACCCCCGTGTCATCCAGTGACGCTACGCCACTGCCTGGGGGTACCCGGAATATATCCGGGGTTTTTTTTTTTTTTTTTAGTTCTTTATTAAGGAGATTTTTAGCCTATGGCTAGTTCATCTCCGAATACATATATCCGGGTGTAGTCTATTTGGTGAGGCTACCAATCACCTTATCATCGTATTTTAATGTGATTTAATGGGTTTTAATTCAATTCATATTCAAGCAACTTCCCCAGGGTACCCGGAACATGTCCAAGTGTGTCCAATGTGGTCTGGAATACTTAACACGACTTGCATTGATCTTATTTTTGAATTCTGTAGTAATTTGATGTGTCGCATGATGGTTTTGATACGTTTTCCGTTAAATCCAGCGTGAAGGCCCATATTCACCGGATCTTATTCCGGCCATATCTCCGGAACCGGTTCACCGATTCCAAAACCGTTCAATAGCGTTCAATGGGACCCCAAGACCTATCATTTGGCGCCGAGTTTGTCCAAATCGGTTGAGCGGTTGCTGAGAAACGTGAGCGCATTCATTTCGTAACATACACACACACATACACACATACACACGTACACACACACACACACACACACACTCACACACACACACACACAACACACACACACACAACACACACACACACACACAACACACACACACACACAACACACACACACACACAACACACACACACACACAACACACACACAAATGGTGAGTTGACAACCTAGCTGAAGGAAGGACCGTGTCAACCCTAGCATGGCCTCCCTGCTTGCATAGATAACCATGGGATCACGATAGGCGACTACATACAACGAGTGGAGATAGCGGCCCGAAGGGGGGACCCATCAGAATGGATAAAATTGGAGAAAAAAACAAAAATGAAGAAAATGAAAAAACCAAAAAAAAAAATATGAAGAACGACGGCAAGACGCCAGATAGTGAAAACGGAGGAGCGAACGTGTTCGCAAGAAGCGGAAAGTTGCAGAGATCACCAGCGTCGAATCAGGTAACCACAGCGAGTTCCAGTAGTAGCATACCTCAAGTGGAACAGCATGGATCCCAAGGAGAGTAGCTAGGTGCGGTGCCATGCCAAATATTCACACCGAAATCCAGCAGTTGCAAACAGCAAGAACTGCCACTTGGGAGAACCAAATGACGGAGGTCAGAAGGAAGATCGATGATCTCTATGTGTTCGTAAAGGATAAAAACAACGTACACAAAGAGATCAAGCAACTTGTTACTGGAATCAAATCCGGCATAACAGTGGCAGATCGGGAATTCCATGAGTGGAGAAAAAGAGCCGAAAATGCCGAAAAGGCTCTCCGGGAGGCCAAGGAGAGCATAAGACTGGCTGAAGCACATGAGACGCCGAAGGGATCCACAAATCCACGTCCTGAAAAGAGAGATAGGGACACGCCAGGAGATGAGGAGGAGCCCAAAAAACGCAAGGACGAGGAAGGCATCAAGGAGATGGGAGAAATTGGTGGGTGGCGTAAAGTCGAGAACCAGAAGGAGAGGAAGAAAAAACAGAAGGAAGATGAAGTGAGGAAGAAGGAAGAGGAAGGATAAGGAGAAGTCTAGGCCTCGTAGGGAGAGAAGCAAGGGTGACGCTCTGGTTGTTGAGGTGAAGGACAAAACGTCCTACGCAGCACTCCTCCGGAAAGTGAGAGAGGATCCGGAGTTGAAACAACTAGGCAAGAACGTCGTGAAAACCAGGTGAACCCAGAAAGGCGAGATGCTATTTGAGCTGAAAAGGGATCCTACGGTTAAGAGCGCAGCTTTTAAGGAGCTCGTCGAAAAATCTCGTAACGACGACGGCGAGACGGCGAACGTAAGAGCCTTATCCCAGGAGGCAGTGGTCGAGTGCAGAGATCTGGACGAGATCACAACAGAAGACGAGTTGAAGAGTGCGCTGAAGGTGCAATGCAACCTGGGAGACGTACCGATGGCAATTCGGTTGAGGAAGGCGTATGGTGGCACGCAGACGGCGTCGATACGACTTTCTTCGGACGCAGCTAACGAGCTGCTGAAGACAGGCCGAATCAAGGTTGGGTGGTCAGTGTGCCCGATGAAAGCTATTCCTCGGGAATCTAAGAAAATGGAGAGATGCTACAAATGCATGGGCTTCGGTCACCACGCGAGAAACTGCAAAGGCCCAGACAGATCTGATCTGTGCAGGAAATGCGGAGAGAAAACAAAGTGCGACGTTGCAATCATTGCAGAGTCATATCGAGTCCCTCTAAATAATGGTAACTGGGTGGCGGATAGAGCAGGAATGGCGGCCATACAAGTCATGGGCAGGTATCTCATTCAAAAAGTGGTGGCAAGCTCATACGAAGGTTTCGTGATCGCCAAAATCAATGGAATCTATGTATGTAGTTGCTACGCACCCCCGACATGGACAATTGAGCAGTTCCACCAGATGCTAGATGGGTTCACCGGAGAGCTCATTGGACGGAGACCAGTCGTCATCGCAGGAGATTTCAATGCAAGGTTTGGGGGAGCAGATGTATCAACGCAAGAGGGTATAGCCTGCTGGAAGTTGAACGTCGGTCTGGCTAACTTAGGAACTTTCAGCACCTTCCGCAAAGATGGTAGGGAATCCATTATCGACGTCACTTTCTGCAATGCGTCGCTAATAGTAAATATGAACTGGAGAGTGTGCGAAGAGTACACAGATAGTGACTATCAGGCGATCCGGTACAGTATCGGCGAACGGACACCGGTGGAAATGCGGAGGACGAAAGTAAGCGAGCAGAAGTGGAAGACGAAGGCATTCAATAAGGATCTCTTCATCGAAGCTCTAAGGGTAGACAGTAGCGTCCCGGGCCTAAGCGCGTACGAGTTGACCGAATCATTAGCAAGAGCATGTGACACAACTATGCCGAGAAAACTGGAGCCAACGAACAGGCGGCGTCCAGCTTACTGGTGGAACGAGGAAATTAGCACCCTCCGTGCTACTTGTCTTCTAGCCAGAAGGCGTGCTCAGAGAGCAAGAACAGAAGCAGACAGAGAGGAGCGCAGGGTGGTGTTCCGAGAGCCCAGGGCTGCACTGAAACGAAAGATAAAGCTGAGCAAGTCAAATAGTTTCAAGGAGCTGTGCCGCGACGCCGATGCCAACCCCTGGGGCAACGCATACCGAGTCGCGATGGCGAAGATCAGAGGTCCAACGATGCCGGTTGAAATGTGTCCCAACAAGCTGAAAGTCATCGTGGAGGAACTTTTCCTACAGCATGACCCAACGTACTGGCCACCTACACCA